TATAGAACGACGAGTGAACGCAGGAAACAGAGTAAATGGAGCCCTGCACGCTATTGTGAAGAGTCAAAATGTGTCAAAAAAGGCACGTATGGCAATTCACAATGCTGTGTTGGTCCCTACTTTAACGTATGGTAGTGAAAGTTGGGTATGGCAGAAGAAGCACGAGAGTAGAATAAATGCAGTAGAAATGCGGTTGTTAAGGAGTATGTTAGGGCTGAATCTGAATGACAGGGTGAAAAATTGTGTGATAAGAGAAGAGTGTGGTTTGCAAGATGATGTTGTGACCAGGATTAAGAAAGGAATGCTTCGGTGGTTTGGTCATGTGGAAAGAATGGATGGGGAAAGAGTGACAAAGAAAATTTATGTTGCAGAAGTGAATGGCAGAGTCGGAAAGGGACGTCCTAGGCGATAATTTATCGACCAAATTGGCGATTTATTGAAAACGGGCCAAATTAGGAGTACCCTTAACCGACGAGCATGCATGCGTAGGTGTATGGATGTGAAGGAGGCGAGAGAGGTGTGTCAGGATCGTGCCAAATGGAAGTCTGTAGTCTTGTACCCCTTGGGTGACAGGTGTGTTTATGTATATTGTATATGAAATAGACAGTGAGTATATATATTAATGATACATTCCTTTCTTTCATGAAAACATAATAAATTTGTAAATGTTATTAAATTGTATTCATTGCATCGCAGAATACTTCGTTTTATACGTATAGATGTGTATATTACATATATTTATAAAACGAAGTTTTCTATTCTAGTCTACTATAAAATATCCACTACCCATGTCCTGTGGGTTTAATAAGAGGCGACAGAGGGAAATATACCAGGACATGGATAACAGCGTCTCTCTGATAACTAAATTAAAAAACTGTGGTCATCATACCGTCTGCTAAGCATGGCAACTTTGGAACATATGTTTTGAAATTAAAAACATAATACGTGTTAATTACATTTACCCAACCTGACCCAAAAATATCATACGTCATCCCTTTCTTTCATATTTTTATCGTTTAGTTTATACATTTTTCTTTGATTTTTATTGAAACATTGTGTGTTGTGGGATCTGGGAATCTAGAAGGATTTCAGGACCGCAATGTATTGAGACGATTGTTTTTTAATTTCCATTGACCCTTATAGGGAATAGATTTTTAATTGTTGACTGTTTGTGGATATGTTACTTAGAAAATATTTATATACATTTTTTTAGATTTTATGTAGGTACAGTGCCGGACGGGCGAAACTCTCCGGAGTAAATGTTGTCGAAGATACTTCGCGAGTCGCTCACGTCCTACACCTATAGGTTCCGGTGGGTACTTTCACTGCCGTCTTTGTGGTTGCCGCTGAAATATTGTGGACTGAGGTTCAAATCAAAATGCACGATTAATAAATACAAAAAGCAATGTAGTGGCCAGCGGTTCGACTAATTAATTAGTCGCGAAATTTTGTAACTATTATTTATTGACCACGGTTGTTCACTATTGGTTGGTCACTGTATATTTCAAAAGATTTCTTTAAATTGTACGGTGGTATCAAATATCTATTGGTAGTAGCTGGTTTTCTAACACTACTGACTAGCAGCTATTATCAACTAAACTAGCTGATTTTATCACTTGTGTAACTGCGGATATCAGTTACCACTTTCACTATATGTAACTGCGAATATCAGTTACGACCTTTTTCGGCTAGCTAACACTTTCACTATGTGTAACTGCGAATATCAGTTACGACCTTTTTCGGCTAGCTAACACTTTCACTATATGTAACTGCGAATATCAGTTACGACCGTTTTAGGCTAGCTAACACTTTCACTATTTACTATATACTGCTACTAGTCACTTCAGCTACCACCGGATACCACTCACTTCACTTCACTTGTCACTGGTAGTTCTTCACACTACTACGGGTACTGGGTCCCGAGCCCCTAAGGTAGACTTTAGCAATACTTTACAGTGAGCCGCTTGCCATTTTCCGTTTTGCCTCTTTATTGCATAAATTTTTCACTATGCAAATGGCATAAATTGCAATATTTTCTATACAAAACTAATTGCTACATTAACATGCTATACATCATTAAATCGGTAGCCTGGTACTTTATTAGTATATCATAAAGGTTACTCAAAACACTCACAAACACTCTTTTAGAACATAAAATTATTTTCAATATTTTTAGTATGAACTATTACGCAGTCTCCTCCTTCCTCCCGGCCTCGCCCGCTCGCCCGTTGGGGTTGGGGGTTGGGGGTTGTTGGGTGGTTGGGTGGGGAGGGGGGGGGGGGGGGGGGGGGGGTGGGGGGGGGGGGGGGGGTGGGGGGGGGTGGAAGGGGACCCGCCCCCCCCCCACAACAAGATGAAGAACAAGACAAAAGAAGGCGAAGGAAGGGGGGGCGAGAAAGGGCGGAAAAAGAGGAACATGGGGCACGGCTTCTTCGTGGGGGCGTTTCTGGCGGCCCCGGGGGTGGTGTATGAGTGAGATGAGTTAATTAAAAAACTTCTAGAGTAAACGTTCTACGATAAGACGCGCTGTGATTGGTCGATTTTTCTTAATATAATAAAAGTTGTTTACATTACTTGTTATCAAAGCGACATTCTATACAAATATACTAAGAGTTATAAACATGCTAAACTATATACTATATTAATACACGTTTTCACCGTTTTGTCAGTAATTTCATTATTAATACAAAAAACAATATTCTTTATAACTTTGTTTCTTAACGTTGTTAGGCCGTCGCGAACAGGTACATAAAGATTATTTGTTAGTTGTGTTAGTTTTTTAATACTAACTAGTGATTTAAATAAAAATATAAGTAAATTATGCAATATAATAACAAAGTATGCCGGGCACGATAATGTTTTCATTATTTACAGGCATAAGTTAAAAGTTAAAGTTACAGCCTGTATACGTCCAACCGCTAGGCACAGGCCTCCTCTCATTTGTGAGAGGTTTTTAGGACAAGAAAGTCTCCGCCGCGCTGTACCAATGCGTCTTTGCGAACATCACATGTCTTCGAAATATTTTCTTTCTTATTTCTCCGATATGTAGGTTTATGTTTTCCTTTACCACCGAGCAAGTGGTAAATTTAAATTTGCTATTAACATTTCATTGGTGCCGGCGGGGATCGAACCTGGGTTGCTCGCGTACTGTGAAATTTACAGCAATCGCTAACCATCTGAGCTACCATGGCTTTTTGTATTTACACGCAAAGGAACACAAAATTTGTTTAAAAAAAAGATTAAACGATTTTGCTTAGTTATTTCACAACGCGCAAGCAGTAAAAGGACGTCTTTTGAAATAATAGGCAATTATTTAGGTTCTACAGTCTTGGTTGTTTATGTTTACGCTTTACAAGAAAACAAGTACTGCCATGAGCGAGTTCAAAGCGTTAATTAAGTAGCAATCTTAATTAAGTAGTAATCTTAATTTTCGCTTATTAAAATAATAATTAAAATTAAGCAGTGAACGAAATAAGGTACCTATTTATTATTTTTAACGTATTTTTAACTTCCCGCTTAGAAAATTGAAAAATTTTCAAAAATAGGGAAGTTATTGGTTTCACCCCGATTTTCAAAAATCTAGTTTTCGTCAGATTTCGTGGACGTCCGTACGGATGTGTATGTGTGCGTGCGTGCGTGCGTGCGTGCGTGCGTGCGTGCGTGCGTGCGTGCGTGCGTGCGTGCGTGCGTGCGTGCGTGCGTGCGTGCGTGCGTGCGTGCGTGCGTGCGTGCGTGCGTGCGTGCGTGCGTGCGTGCGTGCGTGCGTGCGTGCATGCGTGCGTGCGTGCGTGCGTGCGTGCGTGCGTGCGTGCGTGCGTGCGTGCGTGCGCGCGCGTGTGTGTGTGTGTGTGTGTGTGTGTGTGTGTGTGTGTGTGTGTGTGTGTGTGTGTGTGTGTGTGTGTTTTGTCTAAGTATATAAACCTTTCATAACTTTTGAAAGTCTTGATCGATTGAGATGGGGTTTGCGGCGTTCTAAAGATCTCAATGTGGATTAGATTTGCTGATAATATAAACTAATTCGGACAAGTAGATTTTGAGAAATCTCAAAAATAAAATTATTGAAAAACAGTTTTTTTTGGAATAACTTTTAAACAGCTTTACCAATCGATTTCAAAAACGAATCAGCTCTTAACCTCAAAAAATGACGTCGAATGCCGTTTGGAAAATAAAAATCGGTTCTTGCTTTCGTGAGATATCGAATGGGAAAGAATTTGAAAAAAAAAACGGTTTTTTTTTTAACATAGCTTTGAGATTTCGCAACATAATTTGGTGAAATTTGGAGCGCATTGCATTTGAAATTAGCGGAAAGTTCCAGGGATGGCCTGCAAAGTCAACCAATTTTTTTTTAAATATTTACAGTAAAATTATACAAAGTCTATTCATGATTCAATGTTACTATCGTGGTTGCTTTCAAGCTTACAATATTTAGTTTTATATTTTATTTAAGTAATGATTATATGTATAGAACAAGATACCATTTTCGGTATCGTAGTAAGGAGGCATCTTAGTCTTCAGAGAATCATTATCCATCTACATTTTAAATCTCAATTGTGGATAGATGTACTCGTAGGTGACTATGGACCAGAACTTACACTTGCCATACGGCCATAGCATATCTCTCTAACTCGTTTAGGTTAGGTAGTTTTTAGGAGTTTGGTACATTGTTTAACATTTTAAAATGGAAAAATAAATATAAATATAGGTACATTTTGGTTTTGTCTTAAAATAGTAAAGGTATTTAAATTTAACGTCAAAGACATAGAACTTAGTCTTATATACTTTAACATGAACGTTACACGAATACGTATAGTTATCGTCATATTAAAGTAAAGGTATAATAGCTCTTTTGTCTATTGTGTGCTGAACAAGAGCTGTACCAGTAGGTAATGAATATCGTATGGAAGTCCGCCAATATACATTATTAAAGCATTGTGACGGACTTTTTTACAAAACCATAGCATTGGGATGTTTAACTTTATGTAACTATTATAATTAGTTACCTGACGGGTGTTGTAGCCCCCGAGCCGGATCCGGCGCGGGACGGCGAAGCGAGCTCAGCACTGGGCGGCGTTGCGTGGGAAACCAGCCACGCGTCCACTACCTGGCGCGTTGCTTTCCTGTTTGACAATAAAATATTGCTAATTAGTTCTTGTTAAAAAGTAGTTCGTTTTTTTATTATCAGCTTCTATTTCAATCCATCCAATCCAATTCTCTATATCCACTTCATAATATAGACATTTTTAAGCTGTACGAGTATTAACTGCAATCCAATTTTGATAGATTTGAGATTTAAGGAATAGTTAACCAATGCCATGGTATAGGTTATGCACTAACCCCGCCTGCTTTAGGTCATGAATTTTGGTCAAGAAATGCTTGAAAAATCCTGGGCAACCAGTGCATTTTTAGAAGTAATTTGTAATTTATAGGTTTTTCCTGGACTGAAAACTTTACTTGGGCGAATTTTAATGTTAATCATACTTGTGAAAGCCATTATAGTTCACAAGTATGTTAAGCGTACTTGTGAAAGGACCATAATAGCACAGAATACCAGCGTAATAATAATCTTTCGAGTGATAATGAAGCACTCCATCTTAGTCTACAGAAGTGTCAGCTTTTTATTCTTAATTGAGGATAAATGTAAATGTAAGTATGTAATGGCAATATATTAAAAATGGGCCAAATTAAGAGTACCCTTAACTGACGAACATGTATGCGTAGGTATATGGATGTGGAAGAGGCGAGAGAGGTATGTCAGAATCGTGCTAAATGGAAGTCTGTAGTCTATGCCTACCCTTCTGGGTGACAGGCGTGAGTGTTTATGTATGTATGTATGTATGTATAGTAATTTAGGAAACGGCGGTAATTAATAAGTTATTGGCACTATATCCAAAAGCTGACTAAGCCCAGGTTTACTAATTTTTCGGGCATTACCCGTAACATACACAATATTCCTCACAGTCTTATAGCTGATGTTATAAGGAGGCTTATTTTATTTGAGAAAAATAATTAGGGTTCCGGACAAAAACAATTCAAACTGTAAATTACTCTATTGTCCAGTAAAGAAATCTAAAATCAACACATGTTCTTAAGTTTTGTTTTAAAGACTCGTGCTCACCGACTTGTGTAACGACTTGAAGGATTCAACTAAGACGCCATTACCTTTACAGCTCCGACTAATTGGAATCGCATTTATATTGGCGTCCATTGTTATTATACGTTTGAGTTTAGAAGCGTTCTAAGTTGAATTGGGGCCATTTGGTGCAACGTTTTATTTAATAATTGCCTTAAATAGCATATTCGAAGTTTACGAGTAAATTTATTGTGAATGTTTTATTGCTTTCTTATGTAATTTATTGAAAATTAGCTAAATCATCCGATATTTATATTAGATAGTTTATATTATTATTAATAAATATAAAATACGTAGTTAATGTAGTAAAATATTTTGAGAATAATTTGTGGACTTGCTTACTTAGACTTGGGTAGTCTGATTCATCATTGTTAATTTTAAAACAACGTACTCCCTTTTTTAATTTTAAAAATATTTTGTAATAAATTAACAGAGGCATAAAATGCACTTTTTATTGGAGTAAATACCGACTACTACAATTGCATCAACAGCTTTCCATTAAATGATACAGTTCATTTTAGCTCGAATTAAATAATGTCTCAGTGATCGCAAGGGTGAAAACTGGCAGCGATTACCGAATGGTTAGAGGCACACTGAACCTGAACGTTAAGTTGGAGAGGTCTCGTCTAATGAAGTCAACGCTCCGTCCCCCTCGTACTCTGATCAAGAATCCCGAAACTTTTCAGCTCGAGTTACGTAACCGCTTTCAGTGCCTAGAAGATTGCAATGCAGTGGACGATATGAATGACAAGCTCATGGAAACTGTCCATGCGGTCGGAGCTAAGTTCTGCAGGAACCGCCGCAGAAGAACACAAAAACTCTCCGATCACACTCTTAATCTCATGGCTGTTAGACGGGAGATGAGGCTGCAATCGTCAACAAATATGACAGCATACAGGCAAATGAACAGACAGATCTCCAAATGCATTCGGCGAGACTTGCGCAACTTCAATACTGCTCGTATTGAAGAAGCGATCGAGCGGAACCAGGGCTCGAAAGTCTTTGTCAGAGATATGTCTGCCAGTAAGATCCAACTGTCAAAGCTAAAGACTGAGTGTGGCAGCATCGTTTCCGGGACACCTGAGATTCTGAGTGAAATTGAGAGGTGCTATGGGCAGCTGTACACATCATCGTTAGAGCCACACGCAAGTGTGAGTAACGATCCAAGAGCAAGTCTTATGCGACACTATTCCGATGATATCCCGGACGTCAGTCTGAGCGAGATTAGAATGGCTCTCCAGCACCTTAAAAACGGCAAGTCCCCGGGCAAGGATGGAATTACAGCGGAGCTTCTGAAAGCGGGTAGAAAACCGGTACTTGAAGTCCTTCAGAGGCTTTTTAATTCCGTCCTCCATGGTGGCACAACTCCGGAGGCGTGGAGCAGAAGTGCGGTGGTCTTGTTCTTCAAGAAAGGTGACAACGCCCTCTTGAAGAACTACAGCCCGATATCCCTTCTGAGCTGCGTCTATGTGCTGTTTTCTAGAGTCATTACGAATCGTCTCGCTCGCAGACTCGACGACTTCCAGCCTCCCGAACGAGCCGGTTTCCGAAAAGGCTTTAGTACCATAGACCACATACATACCCTTCGGCAAATTGTACAGAAGTCCGAAGAGTACAATCTGCCACTTTGCCTGGCGTATGTAGACTATGAGAAAGCCTTTGATTCCGTCGAAATTTGGGCGGTGCTACAGTCTCTTCAGCGGTGCCAAGTTGACGGTCGGTATGTTGAAGTACCGAAGTGTTAGTACAGTAGGACTACGATGGCTATCCGAGTACAGAACCAGATTACGAAACCTATCCAACTGCAGAGAGGTGTAACACAGGGTAACGTTATTTCCCCGAAACTCTTCACCGCTGCATTGGAAGACCTTTTCAAGCTACTGGACTGGAAAAGATACGGTATTAACATCAATGGCGAGTACATCACTCACCTTCGATTTGCCGACGATATAGTCCTTATGACAGAATCGCTGGAGGACTTAAGCACTATGCTCAATGATCCTCAATAGTGCCTCCCAACGGATAGGTCTTAAGATGAACATGGACAAAACAAAGATCATGTTTAATGTCCATGTCACACCTATGCCGGTAGTTGTTGGGAGCACTAAGCTCGAAGTTGTTGACGAGTACGTTTACCTGGGACAAATAGTCCGACTAGGTAAGTCCAACTTCGACCGAGAGGTCAATTGACGGATTCAACTTGGCTGGGCAGCGTTCGGGAAATTACGACGCATCTTCTCGTCATGTATACCTCAAAACCTGAAAGTTGTACAACTAGTGCGTGTTGCCAGTAATGACCTACGGAAACGAGACGTGGTCCTTCACTGCTGGCCGTATGAGGACGCTCAAAGTCGCTCAGCAAGCTATGGAGAGGGTTGTGCTCGGAGTTTCTCTGCGTGATAAACTTAGAAATGAGGATATCCGCAGTAGAAGCAAGAAAGAGTGACCGACATAGCCCAACGGATTAGTAAGCTGAAGTGGCAATGGGCCGGCCATATAGCTCGAAGAACCGACACCGAACAGTTGGGGAAAAAAGGTTCTCGAGTGGCAGCCTCGTAACGGTAGGCGAAGTGTAGGGCGACCCCCCACTAGATGGAGTGACGACCTGGTAAGAAATGCAGGAAGTCGATGGATGCAGGTGGCTCAGGACCGTGCTTTGTGGCATAACTTGTGGGAGGCCTATGTTCAGCAGTGGACTTCTGAAGGGCTGTAATGATGATGATGATGATGATGATGATGTTGCTCGAATTCCACTTTATGGAAAATAATAGATTCTCTGACAAATATTATACTCTATTATTTATTCCGTACTTATATAAGTACATAATAAATAATAGGTATATACCTAAAATCTGTCCTCTATTAAGAATTAAAATTTGTCATCCCAGAGGACTAAGATAAATACCCGATTAAGTTTTTCATACCAAGTTGAGGAAGGCCGAGCATGGTGTTCGGCCGGGGAGCGGCCAATGCACCAAGTGATGGTTCGTGGCTATTCTACAGTATATCCTGTTTTACTTCGGAACTTTGATAGGGCGATTTAAGGCTTAAATATGTTTCGCTTGTGGCGCAACGACAGCGCCGCCACATCACCCCCCCCCCACTCAGACCGGAGGGGGATGGTGGGGACGCCGTCGAACGATATGCCGATGTGTAATGCATTTCTTACTACCTAAGCACTTGCAAGTGATGACGGTGAGAACGATGTGCAGGAGCAAGTGCCAGAAATCTGTCTTATAAATCTGCGGTGAGTCGAGATCAATACAAGTTGGTCTGGCTTGCAGGACTGAGCTGAAAGCTGCAGAAGACGATTCTAGGGAGTGAATGGTAGGAGTTCTTGAAAATAATGACGAAGAAAAAATACTAGTTTTTATGAAATTTATCGCGTATATTTAACTTTTTAAATACCCGACGTTTCGAACGCTTTACAGCACTCATGGTCACGGGCGGGACTGAGATGCCCAACGTCCAGATGTCATAGTTCACCGCGGTTACCATAGATTAAAATTTAACTTTTGTTCCGATCTACATAGTATGCACTTATGGTATCTTGAAGTCTTGCAGTTGTATGCTTGGGTTGGGATTTAATTTTAGTTATTATAGGATCCCAAGCAGATGGTAGCACCCAGCCATCTTCTTTATTGAAATTAGGATGTTTTTTGATTTCAACAGGAATCATCCTTGGAAGGAATCGGTGTTCTTTAGCGAGAATTTGAGGTCTATCAAATCTGATGTAGTGACGGGGGCGATCCTGTACGTGTTCACAGACTGCAGACTTCCCGGAGCGTCGATTCTTCACATCAGCTATATGTTCTTTAACGCGGGTTTTAATTGATCTTTTAGTTTGTCCTATGTAGGGAGACCACATTCACAATCAAGCTTGTACACTCCTGCATCTTGCAGAGGGACATTACAATTGACTGATGATAAAAACTGACCAATCTTCTTCAGCGGCTTGAAGTATGTTTTGATGGAAGCGCGATTCAA